CATCCATGTTGATATTAAACATCGCACAATTCCAACGTGTTTTTGGCTCTACATCAGTTAATTATCTCGATATACGAATATCCTTTTTTGGAATTGGTTATTGCAAATCCTCTAACCTAAGTACACCCATGTTGGTATTAAACATCGCACAATTCCAACGTCATTTATAAAAGATTTATGAAATAACGTCATTGTCCAGAATTTTACATCCGATAAACAGGTCGAAAATTGAAAACCAGATTCACTGAACATAATAATTAACCCTCCCATGTTTACCACCACAGTGTATCTATGCAAAACGCTGTAATTTTAAACAAAGAGCCTAGTAACATCAATAAACGTAAAATATAAGAAGCTGTTTTAATTGAAGAAAACAGCCCCACCTTAAATCAACACCCCGGAGAACTAGAATACCTATATTAGACTGTGAAGCAATATCCGGTCATGTGACCTCTTTGTTCTATACTGTATATATATCTCATGTATCTCTGAAAACTATTTGTATCTGAGGGTGACAAAATCTTGTCGAAACGTCATACATTCATAGTAAAGTTTTTTATTACCCAGTCAAGCCGTCTCAAAAACTTTTATTTTCTAAAAAGTGGGTTCCTCGTTATGAAGTTTTAACCCTAACATTTCTGTTGCTTTTATTTTCTTCCGCGTTTTGTGACGTAATAAGCACATAAAACTGTTCTACTTAGTTTTATTTGTCTTTCAATAATAACATTCAGAAGAAGGTTCATGACATATATATATATATATATATATGCAATCAACTCATGTTTGAGGGGCTGATAAAGAAGGTGCTAAATGGATCAAGGAATATTTTAAAGACATAGTTTTGACATTTTGAAGGTCAAGGTCACAGCTAGGTCATAAAAATACAAAAAAAATCATTATCTGTTAACATGGAGACCGATTTTTCACACCATTTTTGCTCTATAACTCAGTCAAAAATGATCGGATTTTTTTATAAAACTTGGTGGACATATGTAGAATATTATTCCCCATTGCCTTGCCAAAAATGGTCCGTGTCCGTTGAATACGACGGACGTAAGGACACATTTCCGTATATTTTGAAAGCCGAATACGATTAACGCTGCGTGGCGGAGGTATACACTCCACTGAGTGTCCATCTAGTTTATAACAGAGATAGAAAAAAAGAAAAGGTGCATCTAACTAATATTGTTTTTCCACTAACGATTTCAAATGTATTTCTGTTAGCTTATACAATACAGATATGAAGTTTTGTATTTCTGTTAGCTTATACAATACATATATGAAGTTTTGAACACTAATGGGTTTATTCTATTTTGGGAAAAAATCAAATACTTTAGTTAATACAGATATTGTTATGAAATCAAGAATACTAATTATTAAACAGTTTTCTGAATAGTACTAATAAATTTGATGATTATTAGTCTATCTGTCTGTGCTTTTTATTAGCAGCAATCAGTTTTTACTGTTACTTAGTTTCGTGTCTCCGTGGATGTTATGATTGGCTTGTATGCATTCCAAAATATTGGCTTGACCAATTGTTGAGAAAAATTCGTAAGCGTAGGACTTTTAATTGGAAAATTAGTTATATGTATGTCACGTGAGAGCTTATCAATGCGAAAGGGATAATACTCTACATAGGCTCCACCTTTATACTGGATCATCGACTAAAGGCAATATAACATATTCATGCATTGGTGCCATCTATTGGTGTAAATTAGTAATAGTTAACTCTGAAGGAAATTTTTAAAGGTAGAAGCCTGGACAATAATAGTGGCTATAGAATTTTTAAGTTAACGAGAGTATAAACCTGAGCGCATGTGCAGGTGGTTCCCTAGATAATATTTGAAATTCACGAGTTGAATTTCTTCTTCGTTTGTACAAAGCTACTCAAAGGCTATCCGCATTAGCCGTCCCTATTTTTGAAATGATAGACTAATTGGTAAGCAGCTGGTCAACACCACCCACCGCCAGTCTTGGGCTACCATTTACCAACGAATAATGGGATTCACCGTCACATTATAACGTATTGAGTGCTAAAACGAAGTACATGTTCGGCGACAGTGTACAATCCCGCGACCTAACCACCAGGCTATGCCAGACCCTGACTGTGAGCGAATAAGATTCTTATGTTCACAAAATAGGAAAAGTTTAAGTGTCTGAAGAACATGCCCATGAGACTCTTCTTAAGCTTTGGGAATTTAGTGCTAATATTCGAAAACTTATCTTATTCACTCCATTGACCCAAGGTGGCTTAGCCAATCCCATGTTAGACAAATTGTTATGTGAAATTGAGGAGAACATTTAGCAAGAAACCAGCTTATGCTATTTTAGTTAGATTATATGTTGTTCTCTTATTTTTTATTTTATTAATGTTCATTTTTGAATCAAATGCTTAAATAAATGAATTGATAGTAATTGGCTGACAATTAATCACGGTCACACAAAACAGCATACAACTGGTTGGCCAGATTACAACATCTCAAAAACTGTATAATCCGAGGTCAGGGTTTTGGTTTATACTTGCGCATTTAAAACAAGTTTTTCGTGCAACTG